GATTTATCAATAACAGCATTTTTAGTATTGAAATATTTTAAATCTAAAATCTCATTATCGTTAGATTTTTTGATGAATTCGCCACAAAATGTAGTATTAACTTTTAGTGCGTGATGTTCTTTTAAAAATTTATTAATTTTATTTTTTAAAATAACTACACAATCACCCAAAAATGTGCCTAAGTCTTTATGACGTAAATTAACTATAATTATGGTTGTAGCTCTACTTTTAAAACTAGATTCTACATTAGCCCATTTTACGCGTTGCCCCAATTTTGATTGTATGCCCATACCAATATGTCTATTCAAAATTAATTTTCTAAAATGTTTAAAATGTCCCACATTAGTTTCCAATTTACGTAGAGCACCAATAGATAAATTATATTGCCGTCTACTACGAATTGCTTTATTACATGATGTAATCTGCCTTTGTAATCGTTTTAGCCAAATCTCAGCATCTCTAATTGTAAAATTATCGAATAAAATTTTCCTAAGTTTTTTTATAGCCAACAATACACCGTCAGATTGTTTAATAACACTAAAAGGATTCATTTTAACACTGGCAAATAAAAAATATTAAAAAAAATCGCTTACCCTTTTATCCTTAATTTTCGACAATTTCAAAAGATGCAGCTGGATGCGGTTTTCCTGTGTCAACGGTTCCTCTGAATGTGAGACTGTACTGCCTGTCTGTGAGGTGATGTAGGTATGGTTTGTAAGTTTCTACAACCCGTTGTGGTAAAAAAGTTACACCGTGCTCCAGTTCAACCAAAATGCTGGGGCCAAATTTCCCTTGTATTATTTTTGACTGGATAATTTTAAATGGAGTTCCAATAGGTAGAGTATTCAATTTAATTATTGGTTTATGTTTCCTTTCTGTAATTAAAGATACCTCGTTAAGTTTTGATGTATCCATCTATAAAAAAAAAAATACACGTTTTGAATAAAAAAGTTCTCTCAATTTAAAAAAATTTGATTAAAAATATTTAGAAAATTATAGCAAAATCTGTTATGCTGAAAATTTAGAGATTTAGAACTTAAAAATACGTTCAAATCGTTTACATGGAACGAAAAATTATGATTAAATTCAAAAACAAAATATGGTATTTACATAAAAAGTAGAGAGTCAGTAAACTTTAAAATTGCTTCAAAAGCAAAGAGATTGAGAAAAATCTACTATTTAGAGGATAAATTATAATTAAATTTGATAGAAAACAAAAGATGATGAAAACCTAATAATAAAATATATATTTCTTACCTTAACGTCACTGTATATTAACTTTAACACACACCAAATATTTGTTGCTGTTGTTGTGGATTGCTGCGGTGATCTGTTCTTGCTGCTACTGTTCTCGGTGCTGGTGAGACGTAAACTGAGAAACGATGTGTTTTCCAGGTCTTATATCTGCGTTGTTGTGACGTCAATGAATAATCTTTTATTCAAAAACAACTGCTATATCAGTAAACATTTCATGTGAATGCGGTTGAGAATTTTCTTATCGGAATTATAACTTCCTGTAAATGTGGTTTTATTGTTTTGAGAACTTTCTTATCAAATTCTAACTTCCCGTGTAACTGTCTGGGAAATATTTTATCAATTTTCAAGTTTCAACAAATGTGGTTTTGTTATCAGCGAGACTATATTATTTTGTTTAAAATTAAATTTTATAATGCATGATACAGGGTGGTGTCTTAATGGTTACAATCAATTTATTTTTCTTCAGCGTATTCTCTTGGTGCGCAAGTTTAACGATACCATTAAACTCCTTCGGTCTCTATTAACGCTTTACAACATATATTAGGTCAACCACGTGACCATTCAGCATGTAGCTCTAATTTTCCTGAAATTTTAATATGTAGTGTAGTTTAGTATGTTATTCAAGGAATTGACGTTAAAACATGGTGTTAGAAATATTTTTTGAGCTAGAGTGTTCGGTTAGATATCAAACTAATCTGTTTGACTTATGAATCAATAATCTGAAGTCTGTTTGTTTGTAGGTGCTTTAGATGCAAAGATACAACCTTTTTAACCTTGAAAAGACATTTGGTCAAGTAAACAAAACCTCTAGTGTATATTGGGAAGCAAATAGAATACAATGACATCAAAATTTTTCATATTGCGTCTATAACTAAACTTCCTCCAGATCAAAATGCGATAAGAAGTTTGACGGTACCATTAAACTCCTTAGGTATCTAATAACGTTTTACAACATATATTAGGTCAACCACGTGACTATTCAGCATGTAGCTCTGATTTTCCTGAAATTGTAATATGTAGTGTAGTTTAATATGCTATTCAAGGAATTCACGTTAAAACATGGTGTTAGAAATATTTTTTGAGCTAGAGTGTTTGGTTGGATATCAAACTAATCTGTTTGACTTATGAATCAATAATCTGAAGTCTGTTTGTTTGTAGGTGCTTTAGATGCAAAGATACAACCTTTTTAACCTTGAAAAGACATTTGGTCAAGTAAACAAAACCTCTAGTGTATATTGTGAAGCAAATAGAATACAATGGCATCAAAATTTTTCATATTGCGTCTATAACTAAACTTCCTCCAGATCAAAATGCGATAAGAAGTTTGACGGTACCATTAAACTCCTTAGGTATCTAATAACGTTTTACAACATATATTAGATCAACCACGTGACTATTCAGCATGTAGCTCTGATTTTCCTGAAATTGTAATATGTAGTGTAGTTTAATATGTTATTCAAGGAATTGACGTTAAAACATGGTGTTAGAAATATTTTTTGAGTTAGAGTGTTTACCCACAACCTCCAGTTTTCCCTGTTTAAATCGGACCAATAGCAACAAAGATAGACGCTAGTGCCACGTTCATCATTCTCTACGTAATATCGTTTTTCCCGACGTCAAACGTCAAACGTCAAACTTCAAACGTCAAACATCGAACGTGAAACGTCAGTCGTCAAACGTCAAACTTTTCGGTGCACATACCCCCATTTTTCCCATTTAAATCGGACCAACGATAGCTGAGATACACGCTAAGGTCCTTTTGTCCTGTCATTGCGCATGATTTTTCTCTTGTATGTTAATCTATATCACGCTCTCTTCATAATGCCGTTTTTCCCATTTAGATCGGACCAACGATAGCTGAGATATACGCTAAGGTCCTTTTGTCCTGTCACTGCGCATGATTTTTCTCTTGTATGTTATTCTATATCACGCTCTCTTCATAATGCCGTTTTTCCCATTTAAATCGGACCAATAGCAGTGGAGATATACGCTAAGGCCCTTTTGGCTTTATCACTACGCAAAAATTCTATTCGACGAAATTTAATCCCCACACTCCCCCCACTACCCCGTTTTCCTCTCAGACCGTCTGTCTCACTCTTAGCCATTGAATATGTACCTCTCACTCTTACACGTTGAATTCCCTATGTGGTGGAGAATCCGCTTTGTCTATCGCGGAAATCCTCATCGGGGCAATTGACGGATCGACCGTTAAAAGTGGGGTTATGTTCATCGGCGCGACTCCGCGTGGCGCGCGCCTCGTGGCGGGCCCCGGGGCCACGGGCAGCTGTCTAACGACCGTTTTTGGCAAAATGGTGCGGTTTGGTTAGATGTCTTTTCGCAAAATGATGAAAATGGCCTCCTTTACGTGAACGCCATATCTCGTAGGTTATTTGTCTTTTCGCAAAATGATGAAAATGGCCTCGTTTACGTGAACGCCATATCTCGTAGGTTACCTCTCACTCTTACACGTTGAATTCCCTATGTGGGGTCATACCCGCTTTGTCTATCTACTTTTCTGCAAATAAAAAATAATAAATCTTACTGTTATATCTACAATAAATTAAAAATTAATATAATTTGATAGTACAACTATTCCGAAACTCAATATAATTTCTTTAGTATAAACATAATTATATGAAAATGTGTAATAAAATACAATCTTACCTTTTACTAGCAACTGCACGACTTTTTCTTTTATAATTCAACTTCCCTTTAGGTTTTAAAAAAATTGATATTTGCAAATTGACAAAATTTAATTTTAGTTTCAATTTTTTATTTAAAAAATCAGGCTGTAATAAAAATATTTAAAAGCTACAGATTGACAGGGTTTTCCTTTTGAATACCTTATTAAAAAATGAAATGGTTCCGATCATAAATAAGCAAGATATGAGGTAAGAGCTAAAATAGTGTATCCCGAAAACAGCCTTAACTTAGGAGATTTCTAACCTTCTGCTCTTGAAAACCATACAATTCACTTTTTATATATCCCCATAAAAAATGCATGGTGCTATAGTCTAGAGAAGAAATGAGTGCAGTAATTTCATTTGCAGAACGTAGTACAGGTTCAAAAGTTAGACATTTTATTTATACTTTATCCTTCAATGCTTATTTGTAGTTAAAATTAAACTATTAATACATCTGATAGGCCTAATAAAAGTTTTCGTTTAAATTTAATCATGATTCCATGGTTTTTATTGTAATATGTAGGCTATATCAAGCTAGCGGGCACTCTGTGGCGGCACCATACAAGACCTGGTGGGTTTTTTGTAGCCTTTTAGTTACGCTATTTGCGAATTTGTAGCTTGACCCGGGTCCGAAAAAACAGCGGATCCGCTAACTTGAATTTCCATAGTTACGGCACAAATTCAGACTCAGCTGGTTTTTCGTAACTTTTTTGTTAAAGATGCGTGGATACACTAGCTTAAGGTTTAAATGGACCCCCTTATGCAAGCCCTTCGAAGGAAAGTTAATATTAATATTACGGAAAACTGCTGGTCATGTGCAGGCCTTTCACTACTTATGCTTGATAAAGTTAAAACGACCGGGCCTTCTACCGCTCGTTATGACAAATAAGACGACTTACCAAAGCCAGACCCCAACGAAAGGCCACTACTTTAAGTAACGTTCATGTTTAAGGCCCTTTAAAGTGCCATAATAAGTTTGTTGGGTTTACAAGTGAAATAAAATTATACATACAATATTACAAATATAATTTTACAACTAAACATAAAATCATAAAAACTCAATAGTGTAAAATAATAGTAGTAATACAGACTAACAATTAGGGTAATTAAAAAGTATGAGGTAGGTAAGTAATTTTTAAATATATTATTATAACTAAGTAAAAGAATGTTCCTTATATAGAGTGATTCACAAAAAATGTTTCTAAAGTAGACTTTGAAAAATTCACGAATGTTGAAGCGTACAATTTTTCCTTTTTAAATATCAGTTTGGATTTATTTCAGTCGTGCCTAAAATAGTTTACGTATCTCTGCTTTTGTCGGTCATAGCGTACTATAGAAACATTTTTTTGTAGTTCACTCTTAATACTTTGAAAGTAACACATTTAAGGATTAATCACACAAACAACGATAGTAAAAATATTTCATTTTATATTTGTGCAATGCAAAATTTAACACTATACTTTTTGTGTCACAAATCAAAGTTCTCGAAATTTAAAAAAAAACCTTTGTAATCATTTATGTATTTCAAATATTTTTCACTTAATTCGTCAATATATGTATTGTTTCCACAATTATATTTTTTTAATTTCCATAGGGCATATGCCACACTTCCACAATGTTGTTTTCGTTGAAAATCCTATAAATCTCTCTAAAGCAAGAAGAAAACCATGGATTGGGACTCTGGATACCACTTAAATAAATTCTTTCCGGACGTAGGAAACATATCGCAATCAAGTTCTTTCAGTTGATTGTATCTTAAATCCAAGGACCATAAATGTGGAGTTTGGTCAAAACTCTTCTTTTCTATTACTAATATAGTGTTATGAGACAAATCTAGATTTATCAAATTAGTTAATTTATTTAGCGTATCTTTCGTCACCACAGTTAACAAATTGTGTTGAAGAGAAAGTTGTGTTAATTTCTGTGGAAAGGTCAGAAGATTATCAGCTGAAATCCATATTAACTTGTTTGAACTCAATAATAAACTTTTTAAATTTGGAACGTCATAAAAAGGGTCATTTTCTATATTACTTATGTTGGATTTTTTAATAGACTTAAGTTCTGGAACATTTCGAAAAATTCCTGTTCTTAAAAATGTAACATTGATACCTTCTATTTCAATTTGTGCTAACTTTTTCATGTTTCTAAATGCAGACACTTCAAGTAATTCGGTTTCCAATATTGTTAAAACGGATACGTTTTCATAAGTTTCGTTCAAAATTTTTTTCATTGCGACACATTACTGTCAAATCACTTTTTACGCATTGATTAACTTCCACACTTTCTAAAATTGCAGAGGCAAAACATAACTTCGAAACATTTCGGATAACAAACGTTATGTTGAACATTTCATATTATTTTTGAAAATGTTTGATTCGACCTGGTCAACACGTTGATCACGACTATCTAAAACGATGCTCGAAAGTCTTTTATTTATCATAAGTTGCACAATAATTGAAAACATTTCTTTAGTATTTTCATATCAGTTGTCAAATTGTATTGAAGCGATAGTGGTTTATTTTTGTGGAAAGGTTAAAAGATTATCAGCCGAAATCCTTTTTAACTTGTTTAATATCAAATATAAGAAATTTTACATTGTTGGCGCCAAGAATATTCAATGTGCTGCCCAATATCTATAAAACATATACAGGGTGTACCGGTGTACCAATCTTGAGAAAAGTTAGATATCATCCTTGTTGCAAGAGATATTAAAAATTGTTTAAAAAAAATTTATAGGGTAGCTTGACCTACACACTTTATAATTACATTGAGGTATATAGGGGATTGCATGAATCAGGTACGAACCAAATATATGTTTTTTTTATACTAGAACATTTTATATTTAGATTATTCTTATTTTTAACCGACTTCAAAAAACGTTGTCCGATTTCTATAATTATTTTTTGTTAGAAAAGGAATACCTCAGGGGTGGTAACATATAAATTTGGTCAAGATCTTTTAATGGCGCCCCTAAGAAAATCATCAAAATCTATTTTTTTATGTTTGTTCAGCGATAATACTTTAATACGTTGTCCGATTTTTATGATTCTTTTTTTTTGTTAGAATGGTCCCATATATATTTAGTCAAGACCTGATGATAGGATCTATGATAAAATCAACAAACTCAATTTGAAATGACTTCTGAATGATTTTGAAGTCGGTTTTTTAAAATTACTTTTTTAACTTGCTTCCATTCTTCTAATATTATGATTATAGGGTACTATAAAAGAAATTGACATTTTTATATGAAAATCGTAAATAAATGAATAAACCAGCCAATTACATACTGTGGAAAAAATAGTTTTTCTATCTACACGAGTTTTTAATATCATATATAATTTAATTTAAATGGGACAAGTTCAATAAGTTCAATAACAAAGACAATTATTAAATAAGTAATTAGCAAATAACATAATGCAAATAAAACAATAAAAATAAACTTTTAGTTTTCCTTAAAAAATTCATCAAGTTTTTGAATACATTTACTGACTGTGCGCGAACAACACTCGAGGGTAAATTATTCCAAGTATAAAAATAGTATATTACATTCTGAGTGTGGAAAATCACTTTTCACACAAGTGATGTACAATATTTTTCCTACGACTACAAAATAATTTCATCAAAAAATGTAAAACCAGGTTATTATTATAATGATTAATATTAATATTATGTAGTGTATTAAATTACTAAAAAAATTAGCTTTCAAATGAAGTGTCACACTTTACCATAGGTAATCATTTTTGATCCCGCTAGAGGGCGCTAAAATTAAAAGAAACGCAATGAACAGTCATATTGCTGAATTCCCCATAAATTTACCTTTCCGATGATGTTTCATACTTGGTACTTTCCCTATGTAAATTGGTTAGATTGAAGTAGGGGAGAGAAATGACATATGGCAGTTGAGGATATTATAGGTGTCCCCCTTGAAATAAAAATCGATCTGTTTTTGCGTTTCTTTCAAAGATATTCTGAGATACGGCTGGTCGTCACCTTTAATGAATCACCCTGTACTGCACCATTTACTCGTCCTTTAAAAAAGTGTGGCCATATGACACCAAACCTTCAATGATCACCTCCTTTGGCTATAGTAACTATAAAATGTGAGTTTGAAGTAGAGTAAGTACTATAGTGAAAGTTAATAATTTTATTTTAATGAAAAGTCGATTCATCACACCACAATTTTCATTTAAAGTTACCAAATATCGATGAATATTAACTTTACGTATAGGAAATAAAAATGGAAAGCTTTTATTTATTACAAAGGTTTCTATTGGTGATATAAAATATAGGGCGTCCCATTTAAATAAAACATGAAACTCAACCGAGTCTTGAGTCATCCTATATATTAATAATAGTAGAATAAAAACGTTACTTAAGAAAAGTGTTCAAATCTCCAAGTATTTGTTTTTACCATTTCAAAATTATTCTACAACTTATTTCAGATAATTCTGACCTTTTCGAATTGCGATCTACGATATATTAAATTCACAATTTTCATACTCAGGTTTACGTCTCTTAACGTTCATTGAAAACTTAACTGACACAGACGAAGATATGGACTTAGTATGCATCAATTCATTTCTCATATACTCGTATACCGATGCTGTATAAATGTATTTGAAGATTTGAGAACGAGACTGAAACGGCGACTGTCCCGAACTAGTACATTAAATTACTGTCTAGGAGTCTCGACAGAACAAAGATGTCTGGGTTCGAATCCTGACTGCGACAGCCTTTTTTTTAAATCTTTAAATATTTTAGATTTTTGAGATTTGTTTTCGAATTTTCAAAATTATTCTATAAGTGTAATAATACATATTAAAAAACTCGTGTAGGTAAAAAAACTATTCCACAGTTTGTAATTGGCTACAGGGCGTTGGTTTACTTTCAATTTTAATACAAAAATGCAAATTTCTGATTTAAAAAAAACATGTTTGGTTCGTACCTGAGTCTTGCAACACCCTGTATACATCTATGTAATTTTAAAATGTGGCCCTTAAGACACCCTATAAATTTTGTTAATACGTTTTTTTAATATCTTTTAGAACAGGGAAGATATCATACTTTTCCACAAGATTGTATAAAAAAATTAACTGTATAAAATTCATAAAAAATGTTCTTACTAGATAGTGAGAGGCATTATTAGAGAATGAATAAATAATTAATAAATAAATCTCTACATCGGGGGTGGGTTGGCTCAGTGGTTAGAGTCATGACTTTGAGATCGGAAGGTCTCAGGATCGAATCCCACCGTTGGCCGGAATTTTTTCATTTAATTTAATTATTTAAAATTAATTCTGATGCCTTGGTAGGATTCCCCAGTCCCCACTCGACCATTCATTGGGTTCTAATTAACAGTGCTGTTCCTAAAGTGGCGCTGGGAAACAGTAACAAAGCCTACACAAAACACGAGGCTAATAACCATAGCAGTTGATGCCGATGACACAAAAAAAAATCTCTACACCATTCATAAAAAAAATCACTTAAAAAGTTCCTACTAGAGGGGCGTTTGATTTGAAACTCGATCGAGCGAGCGTCGCGGAGACCGAGAAGTAATGACGTCACAATAGAGCATTGAATCAAATCAAATAAAACAGATTAAAAAACATAACCTCGCTTTTTTGTGATTCTTGTTTCTGGTTTGTGTGTCAAAATCACAGGTCAAAATAGTGAGCAAAAAGTAAAGAAAATGGAAAAACTTTTAATAATAAGGGGTAATGCCCTGAAATGCAGCATATACCACAAATGCCCGCTTCGCTCTTATACTCCATGCCTGTGATTACTGGTGATTAGATCTGGACAGAGAAAATGTATTTTCCTCTGGTATTTTCCAAACACACATTTTGTGTTTTTTATGACAAATAATTTTAGCTATAAGACAAAAGCGATTAAGTAATTTGTTGCCTTTTTGTCTGGTCTTTAATTTTGAGATTCAGATTTGTTTGTAAGTTAGTTAAAAAGAGATAGGTAGAGACAAAGACAAATTTCTCCCTCTTCTCGATCCATCTGCTCTGAGAACATCGAGCTCGCTCTATGTTCTCGCTCCAAAGCAAAACAAACACTTTAGGGATCTCTCGGAGTGTCAATTCAAACACGTTTGCAGCGCTCGGAGATCTCCGATGATCAAATCAAACGCACCATAGATAGTGGCAGATCATCATATTTAGGGAATATTATAAATATTTAAAATATAATACAGGGTGATCCAAAATTGAGTTCAAAGATTTTAAGGACGTATGTACCAGCCAAAAATAAGAACAGTTTTTCATATAATCATATGTCTTAACTAGCTTCATTTTCTAGGGTTTTAAAAAAAAATTGTTTTTTTTTATCAATTACTCAAAAACCTTTCAGACGATTTAAATAAAATTTGGTAGGCTTATTTGTCATCATAAGGGCCTTCTTTTGATGAGTATAAAATAAATTTATTAATTCCAGTGGCGTCTCAGGGGGCTACCTACTTGATCTTATAGGTAAAATTATGGTACGGCACTGCTTTCTTGACAATTATTTTAGATTAAGCGGTCAATAATGTAACTTTCTTGCCTCTTGAGCTTTACTCGTATCTAGCTTTGTTTCCAAGAAAAAAAAAATCAAAATCTGTGCCAGGTCCTATTAAAACAAGTAAAAAATTAATTACTAAATGATGAAGATTGTCGCCAAATAGGTCTGTCTTAATATTTATTTGTGTTATAAAATTTCATTTATTATTTATGCCAGTGGCGTCTCAAAGTGTGATTTTATTTAATTAATAATTGTTAAAAAAACCGATTTTTTTTTAAAACGAAGCAAGTTAGGACATACGATTATATGAAAAAAATCTAATTTTTGGCTGGTTAATACGCCCTTAAAATCTTTGCACTCAATTTTGAATCACCCTGTATATCACTAACCCTTTTACTACCAAGCTTTTTTCAAACGTGTGGTACTGAGCAGGGTACACTTGCCATTTAATTTGTTTTTTTTTTTGTTAGATTCGTATATTAAAAAAATGAACGTAATTGTGAATGAACGAAATTGTTTAAAAATATAAAAAAAAACGGTAGGTAGTACAAGGGTTAATTTAAAATAAAATTTACTTTTTCCATTTTTATTTATTAGTTCTTTCCTATTTTTTATTTTATGTGTTTTTAATCTATTTGTGTTTTTTTATAACTTTCTTATTTTTCATAATAAAAAATTTTCATAATAAATAAAAAATGATGCACCATTAAACGGAAGCATTGTGAGGAGGTTCCTAAAGAACGTAGAAGATCAAAATAATATGACCACGCAGGGGCGGTTTCTCCATTGGTTCATTTGTGCAGTGAACACCCACTTAAATTATATAATAGCTATTTATGTTACCAATTACGAAATGCCTTATTTTGTGTAACGAGTAAATATTTGCGAGACGAGCCGAGCGAGGTTCAGCAAAATGAACGAGTTACACAAAACGGCATT